AAAAAAAAAGAAGGCAGCAGAAACAGCCCTGAGGTGCTAAACTTCACAGGGAGCCCAATAACATGCTAGTTACTGTGATAAATATGACAGGGAGGGCCAGCTGTTTCTGTGCCTCTAATTACACACAGCTGGAGCTAGTAAGATTTGGATTATAAGAAACAAATCTTAATTGCGCAGCATTTTCCACTCGATTTAGCAGAAATGCCTGCTGGTCTGGAAAGCTCTATGGTGTGATAAAGCTGGCAGGAGGAACAGGGTCTGGGCACAGCACAGATATATGAATGGGCTTGATTGGCCACTTGGGAGACAGTGATTTCCCTATTGCTTAGATTGGTGATTCTCAACACTTTTAGACTCGGGGGTCACCCTTGAAAAATGCCAGCTCTTAGTTTTCACTCTATTATTTTTTCTGTAGTGAAAAAAGAGAGTAATTCTTTTATTGCAAGGCAATAAAAGAACTCGGAAAGACCACAGCAGGTCAGAATGTCTTTAACGCTACTGAACGCTATTTGAAATCTCTAAGTTTTTGTGAAAGTTTGCACTGAGAATCACTGGTTTAGATTCTGATTTATTCCTGTGCAGCTGTTCAGAGGGTACTAGTCAGAAGCTTGAGGCTGGGTGCTTTGCAGAGCACAGGGTCTTCACTTGAGCTGCTATCACCGTGGGGCAGAGGCTGGGAGTGGACAGAACCAGTGGTCTCTTTCCAGCCCCTAGGCACTGGCCAGGCCAAGGCAGCTGGCTGAATGCATAGAGGAAAATGATTGCACCTGCTCAGGGCTGCAGTACGCAACTCCTTTCCCCGAACGTGAGTGAGCAGAGGATGTGTTTTGTCCGAGTCATGATAGTTCCTGGAAATTCCTGTAGGCAGAAGAGAACTTTAGGCGCAGCCCTGGGGGAAGGGGTGCTGTGCACAAGACAATTTAGCCCCAAGGTATTCTTCATCTCTAGGGCAGAGTGAAAACTTGCCCTGGGCATCTTTTAGTGAGGTACCAAAACAGAGGTAGACTGGTCCAATGGCTGTAGGACAAGTGGGTTCAATTCCCAGCTCTGCTGGAGACTCCTCATCAGACCTTGGGCAAGCCACATAACCTCTCTGTAGCTCCATTTCCCATCTGTAAAATGGGAGTAGTAACATTGCTTTGCCCTACAGAAAGGTTGCAGTAAAGAGTGCAAGATGCTCAGCTAGTCGGGTAACCAGAGCCCAATACCTTAGGCTTATAAACAGAAGACAAAAAATACAGTACACAACCAATGTGCCTGAAGCGGGGCTGTCTGAGTAATGTGCACCATTAGATCCTCAAAGGGTTAGACACTGAGCAAGAAGCTATTCCACAGAACCTGGACTCGACACATGCTTTCTGTGATGGCTGTTCTGCCAGGAAATGTAACCAAGGCTTGATATCCAGATGAAACAGAGCGCCTCTGAATGCAGAGCCAGGGCGTCTTCTTTCACTGCACTTGCTATGGGCACACGCGGGCTCTGTTCCCTGATGCTCCAGGGTTTTAATTCTAACAGTGGTCTCTTTCCTTTCCTTGACGATAAAGAACAAGGCTCAGCAACTTGCAAGCCTCGTCCTCCCTGCACCGATAAGGATTATTTCTACACGCACACGGCCTGCGACAGTAATGGGGAGGTGAGTACCTATCAGTCCCCAGGGCTGTTTCAACACGGGTTGATAAACCACAGGGCTCCCTCATTTTACTGCAGCTGTAACACTCTGCTCTTCAGTGCTGTTCTTTCCAGGTTCAAAGCATAGTAGAGGCGTTAGCTAATTAAAGAGGTGCAGTTTACTTGACAGCCCTTTCTGCAACATTTACCTGCCTCTTGTTACAAATAACCACCAAGCCTCTCTGCCCCAGATTCCCAGCATGTTTGCTGTGGCTAAACTCCCAATCCTTTGAATGCTGGAAGCTACAATGGGAGCGAAGTTGGTGGGCGGTGGAGGGACATGCTGGACATGCCCTGTTCACTATCCTCCTTGGCATCCACACTGTGTGAGAGACTGGATACTGGGCTAGATGCATTTATGGTCTGACTTAGTAAATGGCTGTTCTTATGTTCTTGTAGCTATACAGCCAGTGTCACTGTTTCCCCGTGCAGTTTGATAGTCAGTTTTCCCTGATGTGTGTTCTGGGTCTTTCACACAAGCCACTGGAGACTGGAGGCACACTCTTGTGAAGGCAGATCCACCTGTTGAACAAGAGTGACTTTAACTAGCTAGTACTGAGGCGTTTTCCTCCCTGTTACAGCATACACAATATGAAGGAAATCCATAAGAACAATGGGGCTGAATATCCATATTTCTTAACAATGCACAACATGCAAGGTCTGCATATCCATGCAGACTTCTGCTTCAGTGGTTTCCGTGATTTCTGATTCGGAGAACATAGTGAGCACTGCTAGAAGGCTCACAGACTATTTAAAAACATACTACCCAATTTCATTATTCCACAGCTAGGGCTTGTGTACACATGCAAATTCCCTCACTTTACAGGCACAGTTACAATTCCCGCACCATCATGATCCTTAGCCTGCGTTCACCGTTGTATTTGTACAATGTTGCTTATATACAGAAGCTGGTTGCTTTAAGGAAAGAGGAATGAGCGGTAATAGTAGAAGGCATTTATGCAAATACCTGCATTCTAATTTGGACACATTATTGCTGCTCTTATTTATTGTCTCATGCTACTGGAGGGACTACAAGTTTCAGTCGTGGACCAGACCCCCACTGCAGGGTTAATTCAGGTGCACAACTGCGCTGGGGGCAGAGCATAGTTCTGGGAGTCTGGAATCCTGTGCTGTATTTCTTGGCACTGCCTGATACATGGTCTTGGGTTTCTTCCTTTCTCTGTCAGAAAGGTACTGTACTTGAGCACAGTGCACTTCCCAGTCTTGTTAGGCTTTATCTTAACTTGGAAAGCATTGGCTGCAAGGGAGGGGAAAAGCAATGTTATGCTATCGTGATGCCCTAAGCTGCCTTGCATGGTAAAGATGCTCATTTTTGCCAGCTGAGGTTGAGTTTGCTTATGCCTTTCCAGACTCAGTTAATGTTTAAGTGGGCAGAGCCGAAAATCTGCAGTGAAGATCTGCCTGATGCGGTGAACCTGCCCTCCTCTGGTGTGAAAACCAAGTGCCCACCGTGCAACCCGGGCTTCTTCAAAACCAACTCCAGCACCTGCGAATCCTGTCCCTACGGGGCATACTCAAATGGGTCCGGTAATGCCACTGGGTTTGTTCTGCTGGGCTCCGTGGGAGCATAGCTTGATTCCTGGTTCTTTACCCTGAAATGTGGAGAAAGCTGGGCTGTGCTGAACACGTGCACCGTGTGCCTGGGAAACGGGCAGCGCCAGCCTCTTCCTGGTGGTGGGACCGAGGTGGGCTAGATGGAAAATTGGGGAGGCTGCGCAGACAAAGGTGGGACATGGGCCCCGCAGGCTGGGCTGGGCCAAGAGCGCCGCACGGCTGCAGGTGGGAGCGGGGTGAGCTCAGCTATGTGGGGTGGGTGGCGGCAGCAGCCTTGGGGGAAGTGTGGGGCTTGGACAAAGGCGGCGCTGGGAGGGGTGGCTATGGGGGGCTAAGGCAAATTTTGGGGTAGCTATAGCCCGCCCCCTCCAATCCCCCCTAGTGCCTCCCCAGCTGGGAAAGCAGCAATTGGAGGTTTATTCTCTGCTCGCTCTTGCATTCTGCTATCTAGACTTCCAGGGCCAAACTTAGGGCCGAGGTGTGAGGGACTGAGCAGGTCAGACCCCCTGCAGAGGATTTCCCAGAGGTTTGTGACACCGCGTCCTTCCCATATTGCTACAGGAGCAAGCAGAAAGTGGCTTCATCATGGCCAGGTGGAAGGGAGCCTTGGACAGGGTGTGTTAGTGTGGAGAAGGAGCTCCCAGCCCTGGAAGGGATGAGAACCGCTGACTCATGCTTTTGCTGGCCCCTCACTGTGAGCCACTGCCTTCTCATTAATGCCAGAAAGAACCAGTCCAATCCTGTAGCCAGAGCCATGCAAGAAGTTATGGGAAGCCCATGGTTTATGAGCCAATGAGAGTATCGTTCCTAGAAAGACACCCAGTTCTGGCTTAAAGGTTCCAAGTGATGGAGCAAATCAGCTGTACTTCTTAATAGGCAAACGCACTGGTTAATTCCCACCCGCTGGAAATCTGCATGTTTTATTTCTAGCCTGAACTTAGCCAGCTTCAGCTTGTACTTACTGGCTCTTGTTACTTCAGGCTTGCCTTTGTTAGCAGTTTTATTCAAATAGAAAGCCACCCCTCCACCCCCCCCATAATTAGATTGTATGTATGGAAAATGTATGAATTTGTTATAGTTTTCCAGGTGTAGAATCTAATTATTGGAGGTTTTCCTTGAATTTGTCCCTTTCCCACTGCTACAGCAGGGAAAATAAAACTGGGGGCTCAAGTAATACTTTGTTCTCTACTGCCCCCCAACTTTTTCCCCTGGCAGCCCCTTCCCCCTCTCCTTAATCGGACCCTGTTCTCCCTGAGCACATGGAAGTAAGGAACAGATCTGAAAAAAAAATTAAAAAATTAGGCGACTGTGGCATCGATGCCTACACAGTCAGAAGGATTGCAAATTGGCTGGAGGGCCACACCCAGAGAGTGGTGGTGGATGGGTTTTTTTCGACCTGGAGGGATGTAAGCAGTGGGGTCCCCCAGGACTTGGTCCTCAGGCCCGCACTGTTCAACATCTTCATCACTGACTTGGATGACGAGGGGGTGAAAAGCACCCTGTTCAAATTCATGGATGACACTAAGATGTGGGGAGAAGTGGGCATGCTAGAAGGGAGGAATAGGCTGCAGCTAGATCTAGACAGGTTATAGGGGTGGGCAGATGAGAACAGGATGGGATTCAATACTGACAAGTGCAAGGTGATGCGCCTGGGAAGGAGGAGCCAGCACCATACCTACAGGCTGGGGAGCTCCCTTCTTGTCAGTGCAGAGGCAGAAAAGGATCTTGGAGTCATTATTGATGTCAAGATGAACATGGGCTGGCAGTGTGGGGATGCAGTCAGGCAGGCCAACCGCACCTTGTCATGCATCCACAGATGCATCTCGAGCAGGTCCAAGGAGGTGATCCTCCCCCTCTACGCGGCACTGGTCAGGCCGCAGCTGGAGTACTGCGTCCAGTTCTGGGCGCCGCACTTCAAGAGGGATGTGGACAACATGGAGAGGGTCCAGAGGAGGGCCACTCGCATGATCAGGGGGCAGCAGAGCAGGCCTTACGAGTGGAGGCTACAGGACCTGAACCTGTTCAGCCTCCACAAGAGAAGGCTGAGAGGGGATCTGGTGGCCATCTAGAAACTTACCAGGGGGGACCAGTGGGGAACGGGAGAGACCCTGTTCCCCTGAGCACTACTGGGAATAGCGAGGAATAACGACCATAAGTTGACTGAGAATAGATTCAGGCTAGATACCAGGCGGCACTACTTCACAGTCAGGGTGGCTAGGAGCTGGAACCAACTTCCAAGGAAAATGGTGCTCGCTCTTACCCTGGGGGTCTTCAGAAGGAGGCTAGACAACCACCTAGCCGGGGTCATTTGACCCCAGCATCCTTTTCTGCCCAGGGCAGGGGGTTGGACTTGATGATCTGCTCAGGTCCCTTCCGACCTTACCAACCATGAAACTATGAAAACCATAATCTGGAAATTAAATATGGCTAGAGCAACTTGCATGTAATACCCATGCACTTAGCTTACCCAGAACGTGTGTGTGTGTGTGTGTGTATTGTTAAAGTGCTGGAAGTTTTAGTACAGGTACTTCATAAACATGCTTTTGAGCAGCACCATTTTTTTAATAGTACAAACCATGTATGATATTTGTCCAAAAGCTTATTACTTACCACATTGTTCATTGGGCTAGGCCCCACCAGAGGCAACAGTATTTCAAGCCATGGTGACCACACAGCTCAGCACTGCTCAGTATGTTTGTATACTCCAGATACTCCCACAAAGGATCCATATGCTAATTAGCCCCCACTCATGATTGGAACTGGGTGTTCTCGTCACAACACATCTTGTGCGGGATGCTCCAAAAATTATATGCAAATGAGGCGCAGGTTCCGCTTCACCTCATGAAGTGTGGGGCCACACTAATAATGTGCACTCTGCTGAGAGAAGGGCCAACAGAGGGATTCTGGGTAAATTGTATGCAATGCTGTGGCTCACCATGACTTGAAAAAGAGTTGGCAGCGAGAGGGACTGCACTTAATGGGCACAACCATATGTCCCATTCAGATGTGTTGTGCTAATCTGTTCTTGTAATAGGCTTGTATCAGCACGTTTGCTCAATGTGGGCCATGTGTTTTATAGTCATGCTCAGTATTGGCTGTATTTGATCAACTTTGTAGTTGGTTTCTATTGCTGAGCAAATGCTATTTTTGGCATCAGTTTAATGACAGTATATTTAATGAGATTTCCTTGTGTGCAGTTATAAAATGAGGGGCTTTTTTCCCCAGGGCAACTGGAAGAAAAAAAACATACTCTTGGCTTTCATAATGAAGTAATGCTGAAAGGGGCTTGAAGAGATTATCTAGTCCAACTGGGGGTCAAAGCTGCCACCTTAGTGTTATTAACCCCATGCTCTAGTCTAACCAGCTGAGGTAAATGGTCCTGTATTTGAATAAATGCAGTAGGTCAGTGGTGGATCCTGGGAAGGATGGGACATAATCAAGTCTAACAACATCCTCCAGAGCCTGAAGTTTATCCATGGAGCAGTTCTGTTCTGGTCCCTAATGCCCACTTTGAAGCCCTCAGTTTCTAGCTGGCCAGAAAGCAGGTACTTCATTTGAATCCAGAATGGCTTCATGGGCAACTTCTGACTCAGGAGTACATTCGCAGGCTTGAATTGGTGGGGCATATTCAGTCCCATCCTCCCTAGGGCCCATTGGTGATAGTATGGAAAAGTCCTTGGTCTGTTTGAGATAGACCATTCTCTTTCACATTCTCTTTCTTGGCTCATTCTGTATACACATGCCTATTGATGGAGGCATCATGGGATCAGAGCTGGGAGAGGATAATTAGCACTGAAAGGTGGTCATACCCCACAGAGTGTAAGAAAGCTGCAAGAGAATTGTGTTCCTATTCTGTAGGGTGTATTAGGCAAAGTGCAGGGAGGTTCCTCTGCTTGTTGTTACCCAGTATCAGTCTAACACAGACCTACAGTACCACTGTTGTTTTCTTTTATCTCTAGGCTGCATTAGCTGCCCTGCTGGAACTGAGCCTGCGCTGGGGTTGGAATATAAATGGTGGAACACGCTGCCAGCTAATATGGAGACAACTGTGCTCAGCGGCATCAACTTTGAGTATAAAGGGATGGCAGGTATATGCCAAGGAGCCTGTAACTCTGCCCTCTCCACAAGGGGGGTTGAAAGTATTTCCCATCTCATTCATAAAATACTTCAGCAAATAGTAGAGTCCCTCTATCTCTCAGCAGTCAAAATTGCCCCAGGTGTTGCTTGAAGCTTGCCTTGCATGCAGATTTCTCTAATTGCTAACGTATCACAGTTAATGGATGGGAGAGAGACTCACCAGATAGTGCTGCCCACACAAGTCTAGTGTGGGTATAACTGTGCCCACAAAAAAGAACAAAATCTTGTTCTCTTTCCTATACAAAAATAGTTGTTTCAGTGTAAGCCCCTTTTGCACTGGCATGGCAGTGTCCACATTAGACAGGTTGTATGCTGCTCTAACTCAAGCGGTATAGTTACATTAGTATAACTTCTAGATGTAGCTGAGCTGCGCTTGGTCTACACAGAGTTTTGTCAGCAGAGCTGTGTCAGCTAGGGAAGTGGAAAACTCACCCCCCACAGCCAAAATAGCCCTGCTACCAAAACCCCTACCATGGACACAGCTCTGCCAACGGACAAGAGCTTCTGCCAGTAGAAATTCTGTCATGGCATCTCGAAGCCAGCCAAAAAAACCCTTCTGCCACCATACGCTGTATTTCCATTAGCTATGCTGCTGTAGTGGTGCCAACAAAGCTGTGGGAGCAGCAGCCCTGTAATGTAGACAAATCCATGCACAGCCATCAGCTAATAGAAGACAAGAAGTTGACCCTCAAGCAGTACTGAATCCTGCCCCTACCAGCTAAAAGCCTCTGGGGAACAAAGGTGCAAAGCAGGTGTCAGATCGGAATACTTCCAGCACTTACACAAGTAGCAGTTTTTTTTCTCCAGTGAAGACAAGTGTAAATGATGACTCCAGAGACAAACTCAGGGGCATGAGGCCCTCGGCTGTGTTCTGCTTAGTAAAATGCCATGTGCATTTCTGGCTCGCTTCAGGTAGCAATTGGAAGTCGTTGTAAGACAAGCCCTTCTGAGCTGCATTGTATCTAATTCCCGTGTCTGCTGTTACAGGGTGGGAGGTGGCCAGCGACTATATCTACACAGCAGCAGGAGCCTCTGATAACGACTTCATGATCCTGACGCTGATCATTCCAGGATTCAGGTGAGGGGCAAGGTGGTGCCAAGCCGAGGCTGACTCTGGCTCATGCGAAGCCTACCCCAGAAGGTGGGACGACGTCTATTCAGTGTGATTGATATGTTTAGCTGTTAGGTTATCATGACCCCTGTAGGAAAATACACCTGAATAAACATCATTGCACAAGCTGCTTCGTTCGGCAGCTCAGTGACGCTCCAGCGCAAGAGGTGAGGCACCCACAGTCACCATCTGTACCATGAACACAGAGGACCAGATTCTGATGCCACATGTAGGGGCTTAAATTTGGAGTGAAGGTTACTGATTTTATTGGTATCCATGGGACTCCAGCCTGGCCCACGAACCTGCGATGGCTCCCAGGCAGTCATTCGAACAAGAACTCCTAAATTCAGCAATCCCTGCACATGAATTCAGTCTCTCTCCAGGAACTTCCTGATGTCTTTGGCCAGTGGGGGCCAACCTTTTTCTAGGCATGCTATGAATTAGCCTCACACTCTCCTTAAGTGCCACTCCAATCCACTTCACTTGCCTGATCTGCTGCTCTGCTTTA